GATTAAAATCCCCTCCCTTGCCCTCTGCCCTCGCTGCATTTGGTGCAGCCCAGAATTTGCCTCTGTGGACTGTGAACACACATTACTGTATCTGACAGAGTTCCAAGTTTGCTGCCTGACCCCAAACACCTCCAGAAACCCCCTTCCTATAATAGGAACTCCTCTGAGATACCTGCACTTTGAAATGTTAATGGATTTTGAAAATCTGAGCCCCACGCCCAGGCCACGCTTAAACACTTATTTATTTTGGTATTTACCAGGATTTATGGAGGAACAGAGAGCACCCATCTCCTATTCCCCCTCTCCCTGAAAGGCTTTATATGTAGGATGCCCTTTAGAAGTTACTGTGCACCACATAATTCAGTTTAATATGCTGACTTGTAGCATTACATTTCCTTTGATATTACTCTCCTGAAGGCAATACGACCCTGAAGGTGATATTTTAAACTAATAAATGAGCAGGGGAACTGGAAATCAAACTGAATGCTGTAAGCCAGAAGGACGGATTTTCATCTCAAGCCTTTATTTCCCTACATGAAAAATACAGGAGTCTCACATTTATGTAATTACATTTTTCCTTGATTTGCCAAGGGAACAAATTGTATGCAAATTCTTGTCTACTCACTTTTGTCTGGGTATGAATCCATAAATCCCTTTGTCCGTTGTCCTGTCATTCCATTATTTTTTAACTCCCCTTTCTCGTGAAAATGTTGTGTTGAGTATAAAAAAAAGGCCAAAGGAGGAGTTGTCACTGAGAAGGAGTCAGGTAGGAGTTACCCTCAGGAATGAGTTACCACACATGGCATTACCATGCAAAAAATACCCCCACATCTCTGCTTTTGCCTCTCCTCTTGCCAAAAATTTGACAAGAGATGAGAGGAAGCATTTTTCACCAAGGCAGGTAAGGATATGGGAGGATGTTGTGGAGACTGCAAAGAGGATTTAAATACAGAGTGTAAATGAGGGTGAGTTGGTAGAGGCACTATAAGAAAACAGGGCACAAATCTATAAAAAATGAGAGTTTGAACACAGTCCTGGTGGCACAGTGACTCTGCTGGTGGAAGATAACAGGCTTTATCCTCAAGGTCCATTCCTTGAACTCAGTGAACTTCAACTATGGGGCTGCCCAAAATCTGGTTTTTTTATCTACCCCCTATCAAACTGTGACTCTCAAGACAGCCCTAGACAAAGGAGAAAAGGAAGATAAAAGAACCACAAGCAATTTCAGCAGAGCTGTTTATCACTGCTCTTCTGCCAGCATGGCTTGCTTTGAGTTTTTGGGTTTTTTGTTGTTGTTTTTTCTTTTCTCTTGGTGCTTGTCCAAAAACTTCAGGCCAGAGGGAGCCTTTCAGCTGCCAGAAGTAGCAGGTTAGAGAGAGTGGTGTGTTCTCCTCCAAGAGGCTTAATTGGAAGTGAAAGATGGGAATAAGGTTTGTGTGGATCTCCATGGAGGCAGGGTGATTAGAATGGTTTTGGTGTTTTAGATTTATTTTTAAAAATTCATCAGAAAATTCTGCAACCATAAATAAATAAAAAAAAAAACCACAAAAGTTTTCTCCTGGTTAAGAAATGTGGCTTTTTTTTTGAAAGAGCTGTTCTTTTTCAGTGGCTGCCAGGTCAGAGCCACCTTTAGGTATGTGAGGCACCTCCCTCAGCCCCAACAATGTTGAATTTAAACTTGAGTGTCGTGGGCTTCACGTGAAATCCACGTGAAATCCACATGGTGCTTCAGCTGAAATCAGCCTGGTTCCTCAAGTAAAAGTGCAGAGTCGATCCAACCACAGGGAGCTCACAATTCAAACATGAATTTTACATTCCTTTTACAAGAAGAAGATGTAGGGACTGATCATGGGGGTTTTCATAAGCAGCCACATGTCTACTAAACACCAGCTAGACCCTGTAAAGAGCACAAACTTCAAGCATTTAAAAAGCAGCTGTAAATACATTAATCTAGCTCTTAACCTCCTCCTGCTGAGTGCAGTGAGTGGAGAGAGGCAACTCCACCTTACAAGCTGATTCCCCTGGACTGCCACCTTAAAATGGGATTATCCCTGTCTAGAAAGTCTCTCTCCCACAAACTACAGATGAAACTTTGCTTGGCTGAACAGGGCAAAAGTGTGAGGCTCAGCCAGCTGAAGTTAAACCAATCTGGACTAATCCTGTGGCTGAATGATCATGTTGTATTCCCTCAAAAGTGGGCAGCGAGGAATATTGGCTCCCAAGGGATCATCCAGCCAGCAAAGAGGAGGTAACTACCCAAGCTGAAGCACTTTTCTGCTCATGCTATGAAGAGGACATAAGTACTTACTTTTTTTCTTTATCTGAGGTGAATCCCACAGGGTTTGCCAAACTGGAATTCCAGCCTGCAGGTTGCAGGGCAGGCACGGGAAGGGAAGGCAGGATTTGTGCTTTCTGGAAACAGCCTGAAGTTGCTCCAGGAGAGGTTTAGATTGGATGTTACAAAAAATGTCTTCACTGAAAGGGTGGTCAGGCACTGGAACAGGCTGCCCAGGGAAGTGGTGGGATCATCATCGCTGGAAGCGTCCAAAAACATGTGGATGTGGCACCTGGGGATGTGGTTCAGTGGTGGGCTTGGCAGTGCTGGGTTAGTGGTTGGGCTTGATGACCTTGGAGGGCTTTTCCAGCCTTACTGACTCTGTGATTCTGTTTTGTTTCCAAGACCATCCATTAGCAAGGCCACTATTTGTAATTATTATTTTTTTTCACTCCGTCCCACATGAAACCTTATTCTTCAAAGTTGTGGGGTTTTTTTTTTTGTTTTTTCTTTTTATTACTGATTTCTAACATGCTAAAAATTAGGAAAATGACCCAGCTGAAGCTGAACCTTTGTGCTTGCAGTGTGTGAGCTGCCCCTTCCAAAGCCTGCTCGGGCATCCCTGCGTCCCAGGGCAGTGGAGACGCCCTGTCCATGCCAGAGGGGGCCCTGCTGGGCAGTTTCACACTCGACTCACATTGATTTCCGTGGGCAGATTTCCCTCAGCAGGAGTTGCTGGCTGTTATCACAGTTTACAAATGCAAGGAGATTGTACACACTGGCCTTCATTCCATTTTATTTTAATTTTTTTTTGTCATCCTTCTCTTCGCTCTTCTAAACTCGCGCCTTTCCAATCCGCTTTTCCGAGCAGGATCAGACAATTTCTTGGTGGGGAATTCTTTGCAATCTCCATCACTCAGCTATTTTAGTAACTAAGGTAAATTACCTGACTTGCTGCTTCTCTCCCCCTCTCTCCCAGCATCAGCACATCAGTGTTTTCGAGTACAATGAACTTATAATGACTTTTTAAATGGGGCTATTTTTTATCTCTGCGTGGTGTTGCTACAAAAACAGCCACCTGGTGTAACTGAGTTTCAAACACTCTGCTATGAGCTATTTATCCCTGTTCTGCAGTGTGAGGATTTCCTTGCATTTCTCCAGGCTGGTTTGCAGCCTCCATTGCTATCCCAGTGTTTGGAAGACAAACTATGTTGATTTAATAATTAGAAATAAGGAAGTTAATTTAAGCGAGGCCAACAGGTAGTTCTCCAAAGATCTCATTAACTGCTTTGATTGTCTCCAGCACCTCTTGTAAGCAAATGTCTCATTAACATGGATATTTACATATAATTTACTTTTTCACAGAGGGCCATACATCAGAAAGCTGTAAACCTATTGCTACCATCTTCAGATTTACATGGAAAACATAATTCCTACCATGTGGATGGACACAAACTACCATAAAAGACAATAAAATCTGATAACACACCATGTGATCTGGATTTCCATCGTCAGTACATAAACAGGATCACAAAATCACAGAATATCCTGAGCTGGAAGGGACCCACAAGGATCATGGATTGCAACTCCTGGCCCTGCACAGGACACCCCAATAACCCCACCCCGTGCCTGAGAGCTTTCCAACTTTCCCAACCCAGTCAATCACAGCACTCATTTCATGGGATCCTCATCTGGTAAAGGAAACAATCTGGGGTAGGGGTGTTGAAAAAGAAGAGTAGGAGTAAATGTAAAGGATCCCTTTTTTCTTCCAGCTCCTCCTGTCATGATTTAATGAGCTTTTGTTTTTTAGTAGTATTTTGGGGGGTCTGTCAAAGCCGAGGGATTTTGTGTAACAGGGTCAGGGTTTTATATGATCATTAATTGATATTATGCAATCTGATACTGCATCCTTTAGTTTGAAAGAGTGTTTATCCACTTTTTTGGCATGTGTCACCCTTGCAGAGTGTGACATGTCGTTATTATCACGATGTTACACATCAGAACAACGTTGTTTGGCACCGACCTCGTTCTCCAAGCCCCACATCCCTCAGAACTGCTCTGCCCACCACACAGGGCTCAGATTTTCGGGAGGAAACACAAGATTTGATTCCCTACCACTGAAGATGGTGGAAAACAAGATGCCAGTTCCAGTCCTGTGAACATGCACCCTGCACTGATGGAAATCTGCTGCTATCACCAGAGCTGGGGGAGCCCACACTTGTGATGTTTTCACAGGTTCATCACCCAGATCTGGTTCTACTGGACTTGTGCCAGTCAGGAAGTAACACTTGGAAGTAGTTTTTAGTGAAATCTGATTTTTCTTGGCACGCAGTCAAAGCCAGAGCATATTAATGGCAAACCACTTCGAAAACCCCAGAGCTGGTGGCATTTAGCAGTTGAGAAGATTATGTGCTTGATCTCAGCACCAAATGCAAATAAACAGAGATGCTTAGATCCAGTTTTTCTTCCTTTTCCTGCTGAGGTAGAAGATGATCTCATTTGAGATTCTTTCATTAAGTCTGGCCATTACTGTGCTACTACTTATTTTATGCTATTCCTGTGAATGAAAATTATTTTATTCCAGGGAAATCGATACTGTTTATTATTCTAAACATGAGTCTTTTTATGTATAGAAGGAAGAACCAACTATAAAGCACAATAAGAGCGTGAAGAAAGGAATGGATTTCCACCACTAACGTATTTTATCCCTCCTTCTCTCCTCTAGGTTGCCCAGGAATGTGGGACAACATTACATGCTGGAAACCTGCAAGTGTGGGGGAAATTGTCTTTGTCAAGTGTCCTGCACTCTTCAGGTTTATCATCTCTGAAGATGGTAAAGTATCTTCTCTTTGTTCTCTGCCTCTGCCTGCTAAAGTTTCATGGCCCAGCACGAGTGTAAACCCTCCTTTAAATCCTCAGTATAAAGAGAAATTTAAAAAATACAGTTGGGCTTAAGCTGAGAAAATAGAAAAGCAGGCTGTTTGTGTGTAGATGTGTGTGAGTGTGCACAGGGACGGGAGGGAATGTTTGAAAAGAACCTTCACAGACATGAAAGTATCACCAAATGTAACTCCTAAAGGGAATTCTCACTGAACTCAACGAGACCTGAATCTGTGTTTGGGTTTTGGAGAAAACAATTTGAACCTGTTTTAGTAAATAATTAAAACTCAGAGCAGGTTCTGCTGGTGCTTAAGGAGAACACAGGTTGAGATGACCGGTGTGAGGAGCTCCTTGTTGGGGTTCCAGGGAGGAGTCAGTGGGAATTAAAGATCTCTGGAGAGAGGCAGAAGCTCCATCAGGTTTTTTTGTGGTCTGTAGAAATGAGGTAGAAGCATCCTTGTGCCCATCTCTTGCCTTCCTTGCCCTATTTCTTACTCTTGTGCTCTGTGGAAAACATCCTTAAACATCTCACACCTCTGCTCTTCTCCCTTGTCCCTGAGGGCACTTCCCCAGGGGGTCCTGGAGATTCAGTCCTTGAACAGCTGGAATTTTGCTGTGCTAAATTTTGGGGCTTTACTCTTCACCTGACCCTTGTGCCTCAGGGCTGCAAACTCCCCCAGTGTGGGATCATGTCACACCTCACAAACAAGATTAACTTAATAGGATCTATTCCACATCTTAATTAAACTGTTACCTGTTAATGAAAAATAATTTTTGAATTGAAAATATTTTCTTTAATAAAAAATAATCTAGGCCTTAGAAAAGCAATTAAAGTATATACATAAAGCAAAAAAGGTTTTATTATAGCCGGACACCTCAAAAAAAAAAAAAAAGGCTGAAATAATATTTTTAAGTTGTTTACCTGGGGTTTACAGACCTCTTCACACACTGAACCTCACATTTGACCTGTGGCAGGGTTACAGTCTGACCCTGAGGGAGGAATAGTCCACCCAGTGTAAACATCTGTCCTGCTTTATTTATCTCCTCACGGGATCACTAACAAAAGTGACAGCTGTTACCTCGTGTAGGGTTGGGTTTGAGGGGTTTTGGGACATCTGTTCAAGAGGAACAAACCCAAGATTCATAATTCATTAGACAAACAAATAAACATTCAATCTGGAGCAGTTGGAAATCTCTCCAGACCGGGCTGGGTTTGCACCAGTGACCCCAAGGTGGAATTATTGACACCTCTAATCACTCTCCTGAGTGAATCAGCAGGAGCTTTTCACTATTATTGCTGCTAATTTTAATTAGCCAAGTCTATTTGTTTTCAATGAGGGCTTAATGAAAAAAGGCCACCTTTTATGATGGTTCCTTAAACAAAGGGTTATTAGAGAACTCTAATGTTTCTGAGACGTGGCTAATCACATTTTAGGGGTTGTTGCAGTGTCCTCTGGCTGCTGCTGTGCTTCTGGAACACGAAACTAGGCTGGGTACCAACACTAATATTTATTAACAGCAAAATCGTTCTTAACACAGTGAATTTTTACGTGACCATAAATCACTTTTACAAACTTCAATCATACTTTTGAAAAGTCCATTCTATGAAGCACCTGTGGGCACGGGGTAATAAATGGGAAATCCCAGGGTGAGTTAACCTGCAAGAGTGGGGAGCAGGTGTCTCACTTGGCTTTGGGTGTTCAAAAGTTATATATGGAAGTGTGAAGTGAACACATGGATTTCAGCTTCAGTGAATAGAAGTCAATGGGAAGTTGTAGAAGATGTTTCCTCTGCCCCCTCTCAGGTGCTTGTCTTGAGATGGATGAAGTCACTGGAGGGGGCTGCTCCTTGTAGGAGTTTCAGAAAGGAACTTCACAGCCTCTAGTTGGATGTCTGATTTCCATCTGTAGTAAAATGGGAAAAAAAAAAAAGAGACTACAGAATAAAAGTTAACTGACTAAACTGCCACCTGTAGAGAGGCTTTTAAAAAATCAGCTATAGATTTAGCTAAAAATGCCAGCTGTGGCTGGTTTTAATATGCTCTGCTTTAACCTTCCCTGCCATTGAGCCAAGGAGCAACGTTTGAGCTGCTGTCAACACCACACAGAAAGCCTGATGTTCAGCCCCATTCTGGGTGTTTGGCAGCCCTTCTAAAATCTCATTTCACCTCTCTGATCCCCCCAGCTCGCCAGAATTTTTCATTCATTCCTTTCAAACGCAAACTGTGAACAAAACCATCCTTCTCAAAATCTCCCCAGGTGGAAAAAAAAATATATTAGTTCCTGAGCCTTTTCTCCTCCAGTAAGTTAGGGATTTACAATGGTTTCCTTCTAGATGCTTCCTCAATATTAATTTCTTTTCCTGTCCATCACTGATTTCTTTGATTGATACCCACAAGCCTTCTTTTCCTCAGAAGCTGTAACTCCCATCATCTCTCTGTTCCCCTTTCTTTTTTTTTAACTTTTCTTGCCCCCTTTTTTGTTTGTTTGTTTGTTTGTTCGTTGTTGTGGGTTTTTTTCCAGACAGAGGTGCTACTGCCTAGCAATGAAAACCTACAGAAAGAAAGTTGATGCTTTTTTCTTCTTTGTGCTGTACAGCTGAGATATTCAGAGCCTATAAAACCACATTACTCCAAAGCACCACTGACTGAAACTCAGTGGCCAGATCAGAAATGAGCATGTTTTTAGTTCTTTGATTTGCAGTAAAAAAATACATAATATAATACAAGGGATGACAGAGAATTTCTGAGCATTGGCATTTGCTCCCCACTTGGAAAACGCTTTCACTCAAAAACCCAAATAATAAATGTGATCAGCTCCTGCTGAATCTTCCAGCAATTCAGAATGGCTGCATCAGTACCTGCTACACCCCAAAATGTCATTACTACAACACAAAAGATAGAGAAAATGTACATAAATTTTACCAATGACACAAAACCCATCCTATGTTGATACCAGGATTAAGGGTTCTGAATTAAAATCTACTAGAAAAATAGAATTTATCCAGGTATTAAAGGGTTTAAGAGGATATTGAATCCTGTGATCACATTTTTGAACCCAAGTGTTTGGCTTGTTGCTACTCTGGGAGTGGCAGGACTTTGGTGCTCATCAACAAGCTTTATTGTCCCGAGAAATTGAAAATAGTCTATCACTGATGCCATTAAAAACACTCAGGGAAACACTCAAGTACTTGGTTATACTAATTAATTGATTAATTGATTCTGTAAGAACCCCGAGCCTCATCCATGCTGCACTAGAGATGCCCTGGGTGGACAGTGGGATTTATGAATTCAGGGTTAATTGGATTTGGGAAGCCATCCGTGGCTTTTTTTTTTTTTTTCTCCTCCCTGAGTTTAGATTTTATCCCTAATCAATCAGAATAAGATGACAGGAGAAGAGTTAATGAGAGGGGAAGTGATGCTACATCTTCATGGGTGGAAAGCCCTTCTGTGTCATTGCTGGGCAATTTCCAAGTCCTGGGAAATTTTTTAGGAGCTGTCCTGGTGCCACTGGGAAAATGGTACATAAATCTCAAGCATGGGGAAAAGACAATAAGAATCATTGACTTCCCAAGATGAAAGATGTTGAAAATATTTGCAAGCTACACTTTCTAATAATGTAGGGTATGAATTGATATTTTTTTGATTAAGGTAGAACAAAAAGGTGACCAGATCAGGGGCCTTCTAATCCCCAAAATGCCTCTGGAAGATCATGTGCATATTTCCTACTGAAGGTAGAAAGGATGCAGGTTTTCTTTGCTCCTGCTGAAATTAAGGTCAGCATTGCAGCAGGCTGAAATTGGAAATTGCATTTGCCTGTCAAAGAGGCAAAAGATCAATGCAAAGGTCTGCATTTCTCTTCAAGGGTATCTCGCCCCGATGGGTATTTCAACATCCTGCAGGAAAACTGAGGGAAGAAAAACAAGTAACCACGGAGCAGTGATTGTTTTCTGACCCAGCCCACAGCATTTTCATCATTGGAATGATAATGAGCAGCCATCAGAGCTTCTCCAGCCTTTGAAGCAGCCAGAGCTCCGTGCATACCTCAGTTTCATCCTTAATTTTATGCAAGATCATTCACAAGCGAGTTCAGTGCAAGGTTATCTGTTTGATACGTAAACCATTAATATATGCACAGGTATTTATATAGTTTTACATGCAAACCATGTACATATACACACCAGATCCAGGTTTTGGACAGCTTTCAGAGCTGTCTGCAGATTGCACGTGTGTCACTGCTGCTGAGTGCTCAGCAAGTCCTGGAAAGAATTGTGGCCCAAAGAAGGGGCACAGGAGTCCTACCAAATGTTGAGTGTTTGAAATAATAAGTCCTGCCAATGCTCCAAGATAACAGTAGTAGCTGGATAACAAGTGATTTCATGCTGGTTCTCGTCCCTAGGCTTTGCACAGGCAGGAGAGCCATGGGATTTACTCCAGCTTTTCCAAAGCAAGGAGGACAAACTGGAATTAAACCTCCTCAGTCACAGCATCACGAAGTGTCTCTGCAATGCAGGGGGAAATGGGAGGAAAATGCTGTCATCAAAGAATAGCAACTGGGCTTCAAGTAGCTAATCAAGTAGCTGAGGCCTCTTGGATGTTTTTTTTATTGGAAAAAAAAAGACATCTCGTGGCCTTTCCCACCGAATTATGGGGATCTCAGACTTTGTGCCCCTGTACTCAAATATGCAGCACGACCAAGAGCATTTGAGCTAAAGATCAAGTCCTTGGTCCTTTGTGAGATGACATCCTGCAGTGGCCAGGGGAAAGCTGTAACACAGCTCAAGACCTTTGTCAGTGATTTGAAAGCTAATTTGCCCTTGGGGGAAAAAAATTCATGCTCCTTTGGGAAGAATTGAAGGGTGGAAGTTACTGAGAGCTGCTGAGAAGTTTGGAGAACACTTAGACAGCAAAAGGTGATAGATTGAAGTATCACTGCAGGTGCAACAGGGGCAGAT